TCTTCTGTCCCTGCACAGCACCAGGGTTTAGGAGCCTCTAAAATACCGTCTCTCTCCAGGGACTGCACTAACTTGATGTCTGAATGGTACATTTAACGTCTGCAAATGGCACAACAAGCATCTGCCGCTCTGGTGCTCCAGCGCTGTTTGGATACATCTGCTTTGCTTCAGCCTTTATTTAGCGAGTGGTTACGTGGTAGGTTTGCACTCCGGTAAGCCCAGCAATGAACACACAGACACACAGCTAGCTGTGCTTGGCTGCGTGTTACACAAAACTCTGCAGATGGTTCGAATAAGCCGGGCAAGGAGTGCACCTCGTGCCCTGCAGAGACCAGACCTGGGGGAAGCTTCATGAGCTGGGACACAGCCAGGAGAGCTGGAGGGGGCAGGCGGAGGGGGCAGGCTGCTTTGGTTGCAGGAAGAGCAGAGGTGCTGTCAAAGCCCAAGAATAAAGACATTTAAGACCTGTTTGTTTCGCTGTGGTTTTTTTTACCCCTCAAGACTTTGAGAAGTAATTGTATTGCAAATTGTACTGCAAATACTGGAGAAGCAAATTGCCTTTCCTGACAGGTGAACTGTATTGGGAGACTCTATCACGGCTTCTTGGTCCATTTATATGCTGTGCAATTATTTTTATTGCATGGGCATGAAGAATAGATGCATAAAAAATGCAATAAATAAATAATTCGAGGCTAAATCTCCCTTTTATATTACAATACCAAAGATATTATGAAAAAGCATAGCCTGGTGGCAGCAAAATACAGATTCAGTGAGCTCTGACACACCTTTGATACTCTGGAAAAACACTTTATCAGATGAGACTAAGAGCATCTCTATGTCTCTGCAGTACTGTCCTCCCTGTGTTTGACCAATAAAATCAGTTTGTCCTCCAGTGATTTCTCCAGATTTTCTCAAATGCCTTTAAGAATTAAAGCCTGAGTACTTGTTTTGGGTTTGTTTTTTTTCTTTTTCAGAGGCAGTAATGGAAACGGGTATGAACTATTGCGAGTCTTTTTGAGCCACGCTTTCTGAAAATGTAGAAGCAAAGAACTTTCCAAACTGAGTCCTGAGGATTAGATTAACCACTCAGTTTCCTTTAAATAAAACCACACAGAGAAATAAAACAGAAGGCAGGATATATATGAATCACAGAAAAAACACCAGCTAGAAGAATACTCCCCTAAAGCCTGAGTGAACACTGGTGCAATAACGAGCAAAAATTAAACACAGCACTGTGAGGGACACAGTGCTGCCCCAGCCCAGTGACGGAGAACAGGTCGAGGACGGGCACACAAACCCTGGCGTTCCTCCACCTGCTCTGACCTTCTCAGCGTCATCCATCATTATCTCCTCATCTATTCTGTCCTCTTAACACTGCGAGTCAGTTCTCACTGTGGAAAAAACCAACCTGAAACCAACCAAAAATTGTCACAGTAACTCAAGGTTCTTGAGCAACCTTTAAACCTTGCAGAACAGAGGGGAAAAGAAAGACATGTTGCTCTTACTCATATTGGAGTGAGTATTTTGACCTGGAGAGGACTACAGAATACTGCAAAATTTAAACTGTCAGGAAGTCTTTCCACACCTCAACTAATGTTTGCACAGGACAAGGGAGAGAGATGGCTTGAAACCCTGTAGCCCAAGTCCCATGTCCCAAAAAGAAAATTTGGTGCAGCAGTTGGGATTTAGGAGACTTTGCTAGTCCGTTACATCTGAGCTGTGAACAGCACATGCTGGGTACGCTGCTCTCTTCGATTAGAGGATGGTCACCCTGGCAGGTCATTAATCACTACAGACTGCATTGCCAGGTACCCACATTTTAACTAATGCGCACAAGGAATAGCACAAATTTTTGATTTTGGTCTGCAAAAGGAGAAGGATTTCTGAAATTGGCAAAAAGATGCAGAAGCCCCTAGTCTCGGGGCTCGACCAGATTCATAACAAGGCACCTGATCAAAGAGAGAGTGCTGAGAGCCACGCAGCCGACTTGGGATTCTCCTCTTCACACCAGACAGGGAGACCTTTCTCGTTCAGCTGACGCTCACTGTCAGCAAATACACTCATTGTCAGCAAATTACAGACGTAAGTGTGCCTTTTTTTACTGGGAGAAGAAATATACCTTTCGAAAAGTCAACAATGAAATTCCAGCTTTTTTCATGTCAAATGAAAACAATTACCCATGGAGTCAAAATCCCACCCAAGGTGAACTTCTACACCACGGGATGCTGTCGTAAGTGCTCTACCAGTGGTGGTGCGTGTGCCAGTCACTGCTCTAACAAGCAGCCACCAAAGCCATTTGGAGAAAGAAATAAAACACGGTACCAGAGAACTACCTAAAATTTAGATCAGCTCTGCAGCTAATCTGCAGAGACATCATTCCGCAGCATGAAAGCACTGAGCAAACAAAAAAGGCTGCGCTAATGAGCCATGTCAGGCTGCACCCAGTCACCAGCTTGGAGAACCTTTTCTCTCTTCCTGCCTGACAGCAAAGAGCAGCACATGTGTGGCAAACACGCACGGAAGAGAATTTGTGTGTTCTGAAAGAATTCCCTGACATCCGGCAGTTTCAGGCCAAAAATTGCCACCACATTTCTGTGTCTCAGGCAGTGGAGCTCTGCTCCCTCGCCCCTGAAGCTGCCCAGATTTTCAGCATACCCATTGTTCAGCAATGGATTCCCCATGGCTTCTTTCCAAGCAATTTGACTGCTCTTTAGTCTAACATAACCAGTACTGGGAGGATGGCAAATATTGGGGTATTTCTCTCTGTCAGTGCATACGTGAGGAAGAAGACTATGGGCATTTTCTGAAAAAAATTGTTAGCTGTGACACTTCAGATGATTTCCAGCTCCTTCAAATTCAGAGCCATAAACGCTTTTTTCTGATCAGTTTTGTGCCAAAATTGGGGGATGTTGTGTTGTGTTTCTTTGGAGTTTTTTTTTTTAGTCAGTGAGTGTGTGTCTATTTTTCCTTCTCCTTAAGGTAGAAGAAGCTTTCTAATCCTGAAGAAATGGAAATATCATTTCTGGACAAGCAAGAGGTTCAGTATGCAGAAATCTTTAAAAGAAATATAATATTACCACAGAAGGTTGGGCCATTTAAAAGGAGTGATGCTGGGATGGCATTCATTGTATTACCGTGTCCATCACCCTGAGACTCTGCGGGGGGGTGTGCTGCACGTTTCCAAAACCATCTCAGAACACACCTGGAACAAGCTTGCAATGTTTCATTAAGTACAGAATAATCTAATCTATTTTATTTTAGCGTTTAGTGGTGGTGGTGGTTTTGGGGTGTGGGTTTTGGGGTTTTTTTCTGGTTGGTTTTCCTGTAGACGTGAAATGAAGAGCCTGGAGAATCAAACCCCAACATTTGTTATACGAAAGCCCCACGCAGAGCGCAGTGCCTAACATCTGCTTTACTGCTAATTGGCTCAAAGTGGCAATTTGTCAACTTTTGAAGATAATGAGCTTCCTGCTTGTGCTCAAGCCATCTAAACTTCTAGATAAGGAAATGTGCTTTAGCTATTACAGGTCAGCTCCTCTCTGGGTACAACAGTGCACATGCCGGTGTCCCTCTTGCCCACGACAAAAAGTTCTGCCCATCATGACAGAAGTTAATCAAGTCTGGCTGGGTACAGACTCTTTGGATCTATTTAAATATTGTCAAGGTGCCGAGAATGATTACTGCTGCTTTGGCCTTATTAGTAACACTAAACGATAGTATTTTTAAAAGTACTGAAATCTCCACACAGATCTCAAATAAAAATTCTAAATATTGCTTATTAGAAGAGCCAGTGAAAATATTTTCTTCTACATACTTCTCCTGTGAAAAAATTTTTGCTATTCTAAATGAAAAATTCTGTCAGTAACCGTGAAAAACTGCAGACAACAGTAAACCAGAACTGTTTGCCATCAATTATTTTGAATGTTGGCTTTATTTTAATTTTCCAAGAAAAGTGTGAAAGGATCTCCCACAAAGCCTATGCACCCTTTTCATCACCATTATTTACCTCCTTAGTAGCAGTCACTAGCGGAGATGTGCAAACGGGTGACTTAGAAAAACAGCCCATAAGATATGGGCAGGGTTGCTCGTTTTTGACTCTCTCCATGTGACCTAGCGATACATGCCTAAAGGTTGTCATCAGCCTGTATGGCTGCCAGTGGCAGGAAGATAGCACTTGAAAGATAGGTCAAATATTTTTCTGACAAGAAAGGCAGGTAATTTAGTGTTTCAGTCCCTGGGAAGAGGGGCTCAGCATCACACACTGAGCCACTCCCCAGCCACATGGAGCCATTTCCCAGCCAAGACACCTGCCCTGCAGCCCCTGGCAGTGAGCAACGCCTGACACCGCGATGGAGAGCAACCTCCCCGATAAAACAACACCCTGCGCACCACGCACCTCCACCCGCGACAGCTGTGGGTCTTTCCTTTGGATGCACCTCAAGGTGCCTTTTCTTTACTTTAAAGAAGAAATTGTGCCACATCTGATCAGTAAGGCAGTGCTGCAAAGCAGTGGAGAACTGAGATTGCTCGATCAATATAAAGCCCATTCCTTTTAAAGTTTGTCTGCACCGATGAGGATTCAGGGAGCTTTCTCCCAAATCAGCTGCTGAGAGATTTCACAAATCATAGAACCATAGAATGTTGGGGGCTGGAAGGGACCTCCAGAGATGCCCCAGTGCCACCCCGTGCCAGAGCAGGGTCACCCGGGGCGGCCCCACAGGAACGCGTCCAGGCGGATTGGAAAGTCTCCAGAGCAGGAGACTCCACACCCTCTCTGGGCAGCCTGGGCCAGGGCTCCAGCACCCCAACAGGGAAAAAGTATTTTCTAGTGTTTTTGTAGAACCTCCTATGTTCCAGCTTGTATCCATTGCTCGTCACAGGTTTGTTGCTCTACGCTTTCCAGCGGGTTCATATTTGCCCTTTGGCTGCTGCTGTTGACAAGCAACAACACTGAAGAAACTTAGAACAACTAATTATTCCCCGTGCTCTTCTGCTTGTACCTGTCCAGCGAGATGCAGCACAGGTGCAGGATGGATGCTGTGGTGAGCAGGACATCGAGGGACGTTCGGACTAGGCAGAACATCTCTCCATAGATCCAGTTGTCCTTAACCAACTCAATGGCTCCAAATGGCATCACCAGCACCGACACCAGCAGGTCCGCAAAGGCAAGGGAAACAATGAAATAATTGGTCTTGATTTTCCTGCAAGACAGATCACAGAGTTGGGGTGAAACAGTTTCAGTGTAGCATCCTCTACCTATGGACAGAGACTTCAGCTTGTATTTGGGTCTAATTTGCTTCACCAAACTAAGAGGTCCTCTCTGACATGCTCCTCATGTTACATGTTCACTCTGAGCTTGTTCCTGTCTTTTACAGTGAAATGTGCATGGTGTTCCCTGCACAAGCACATTTTTTTGGCTCACACAGAAGAGGCAAATAGATGCTCATAGACCTCTGCATGGCTCAATCTCACAGCTTGCAAAAGGAAGTTTGGGATGGAGGAGGGGAACTTTATTTCAACTTGTAAATGGAGAAAAATCCTTCCAGAAAGCACTGCAAAAAATCTAAACTGAAGCTGTAATTTTAACTTGAGGAGCGCTTTTTAAATCCTAACAATAAAACAAAATTAAATCCATTAAAAATCCCACGCAGGAATATGAATAGGGGCAGCTGAATATCCCGCTCCGCTCCCGAGGCTGCTCTGACAGCTCCCGAGCCTCCAGGCAGGAATTTTGCCTGTGACCCCCTCCCTGAACCTCTGGCAGCGTTTGCTGAGCCGCGGCAGCGCAGCTACAATCGCAGCAGGACCAGGATCTGCGCAGTTTTCTGCCGGGCTTGCCGGGAAGCCGGAGCTGCAGAAAGGGCGGGCGGTGGCCGGTTGTGAGGCTCACCTGAGCTGCCTGTCCCGGCACACGGCCACCATCACCAGCAGGTTCCCCAGGATGGCCATCAGGATAACGGTCGAGATGAAGGTGAGCAGCACGATCTTCTCCGCTGCGCCGAAGCCCTCACTCGAACTGGGGTAGCACACAGGGGACAAAGAAAGAAGAGGAAAAGAAGCTGCGGCGGTGCTGGGAGGGGAGCACCCGGGCGTGCCTGGACTACGAATGACCAAAGACTAACATTCATAATTTGTAGCAAAATTTGGTTTATGTAGAAACAAGCCATGTTTTGCATTTGGATAGAGATTAAATGAATTAAAGCTAAAAATTAAAAAGCATGATGCTGCAACACTTGGTCACTTGTTGAAGACCTCACTTTTAAAGTGGTTAAGTTTGCACAATTCGTACTTTTTTCTTCTTTTTTGCTTTTTCTTTTTTTTTTACTAAACAGTACCTTTCCTTCTTTTATAAACCAGAAAAACTAAACTACAGATAAAGTTTCTCCACCTTGAGCTAATGCTGCAGATAGGGTTGACAAAGCGGTACAGAGCAATCAAACATACTTACATCTTAGCTCATTGTACAGGAACAGCCATAATCAAGGCACAAAGATCTTCTACAAGTTTGGGTTTTTTTTTCGATGAAGTTGTACAAAATAATACATTTTACAGTCTGTACAAGAATAATAATCCAGCAGTAAAATAAAAAAATGAGGGGAGCGAAGAAGGAAAAGAGGGAAAGACTGGGAGGACTACAGTGCAGGTAATGATTTTTATAGCAGACGGGATCATCAGTGGACAAACTGAAAACAGTGGGTGACGTTTTGTGCCCATGGGGAAAGGCGCGAGGCTCGTGTCCAGCAGCAGAAAGGATGAGGATTCCTGCAGCTGAGAGCTGGAGGGACCTGTGCCTCGCTTCTCAACGTCCACTCCAGTTCAGGGCCTCTGGACAAAAGTGCTTCCATTCTCTTTTCACCCCAATAGATAATACTATTTCCGTGCACAAGTATTTTGGTTTTCTTTCGGTTTTCCATTTTTTTCATATATTTAATCATATGTTCATGGCATTATGAATTATAGAATGGCCCAGGCTGGAAGGCACCTTAAAGACCATTTTAATCCAGTCCCCCTGTCACCAGGGATGCCACCTGTTGACTAGATCAGGCAACACATGGGGACAAGGTTTTCCTCAAGGTGAGCATTTTACACCACGAATTTTGAAATCCTCTACAGATCCTTTTCCTGCGTCCTCTCTCCCCTTTGTTCTGAGCCATAGAACAAGAGACAACCTGGCTTTTGGGGATTTGGGTTTTTTTTTTGTTTGATTGGTTCTTTTGTTTGTTTGTTTGTTTGTTTTCTTTCTCGGTTCGTAGCTTTTCCAGAATCAGGGAAAAGAAAATAAAAATCTTTCAAATGGAAGTGCACAATTGCCCCCTACCCTGACATCAATAATTTCCTTTGGTTAATCATAGAATCATAGATTCATAGAATGGCCTAGGCTGGAAGGGACCTTAGAGATCATTTAATCCAGCGTCCCTGCCACCAGGGACACTACCTCTCGACTAGATCAGGCGACACAAGGGGACCGAACGGGAATGAAGATAAAGAAAAGGAAAAGTAAGGATAACGTGAAATCACAATGTTGGACATATTTTAAACCTGCGTTTCTACAAATATCTTGTTAAATGTTCATAAAAAAATTATTGGGGGGTTTTTTTGAGCCTGCAAAGCAGGAACGTAATACACAGCACACAGCAAATAGTGTTGAATTCTTCAGAAAATAGCTTTTATTACAAAATTTTGAGCCACTTTTCCTTTAAAGCTATTTCTAACTACGTATCCAGAATAAAATGCATCCCAAACTTTTGCCTGCTGGTGCAACTCTCCCTATTGCATTACACGGGTGAGAAGGGGTGTTCATTCATGTTCTCAACTGTGACTGGAAACAAATTGGCCCTAAGAGCAGTACTTGACATTAATTCAGCAGGGAAATTTCTTCACCACATATGGAGCTGGTATTTGGCACCCAGGATTAATGTTGGAGATTTCTCAGGTAATTGAAAAATTGACCTGTGATTCCGTTTTACTTTGATTTCCTCTGGGCTCATTTTTTATTTACTAAATACATTCCAGAATTTTACACTTTATCTTGCTGAATTCTCCTGATGCTGGCAAAGCTAAAAAAGATTAGAGACTGCTGGGGTCCGGCCTCCACTACCTGTGCCATGTTAATAAGCTTCTAGTGACTCACTGCACCCTGACACTGCATTGTGGAACATCCACTTAATCACAATCTCCATTTTTGTGCCTAAAAGTGATGCCAGTTAGAGTATGACTCCTTTTCCACTGCCATTCCACCAGTGTTGGACTGCAGCCTGCTAAGTTGGACTCTTCATACTGGACATGAATAATATCACAGGAGTTTCTTGATTTTCCATGTTTAACAAGGAAATTTACCACTGCACATAGGTTCATCCAGATGGATGTTTATGGGCAAATAAAGAAGAGGAAAGGAGATGTCCCGCCCTTACACTAGTTCCATAGAAAACCACAGCACTAGACAGACACATGCAGGCTCAAAAATGAGTGCAGCTCTGCAGCTAGAATAAGAAAGACATCCAAGGTAACTTCATATCCTAGCTTCATAAATGGATGCCCAAATGCCAAGGAGTGCCTTCTCACCTGTGAGACCACAGGGCTTTTTTAATTCCAGATAATCCGTGTTAAAACTAAGGGTGGACAGTTAGGGTGGACAGTCAGGTGAATCCCACCTCTCCACAAGGTTTTTCAAGCATGAGTCCTCCTGGCGGTCGGTTACTGGGGTACCAGCATACAGAAGAAGAGGCATGATACCCCTGCGAGGGCTCAGGGCACCAGTAAGGGAGCAGGTTTTGCCTTTGTGTTAGAATAAACGATCCCAGCTCACAGCCAAAGGTAAAGGCACGACAGCTTCTTTTGTGCTGCTGGTTTTCAGTGCTAATGTCAGTAAATCCAGTCCTGCTTAATGCAGGAACGTCTCTGGGGTTGTGTTGAAAGCATGAGACATAGTTTCATAGGTTTGCATCCAGCAAGACACTTATTTTTGTGGAAGCCACCTATAGATAGGAGACAGGCAAATTCAAGATGTGTTTTTATTTAGCTGAAATACTTTGCACCTAATTAAGAGTTGTCTACTGAACTTTGTACAACTTCAGCGAGGGCAATTAAGGCTCCAAGAAGCTGGTAGCTCTGGACAAATCCTTTGGTGCATTCAGAAATGTTAACAAGACTCTGTCTGAACTAAATGTGGTTTTTCGAGTATTTATTGGAGAGCGTTGCTTCCCAATACCTTGGGTCATTAGTTTTCTCTCTGCAGTTCTTGCGATTACACTGCAATTCCTGCCTACAATTTGTCTACGCTGTCCATTTCACAGAAGAAAATCCCTATCAACCAAAAGGATCTGTCTCATCCATTGTTCTATCTGTCAGTGGCCTGTAGCAGATAAATGCCTACATGACACAGCAGTGCCTCCCTTGCGTGCTCTCTCACCCCGCAAAGGTCATCCCAATGGGCTACAGAGCTGCTCCCTGGCCACGCGGCTGCTGCTCCTGCAGACAGCTGCTGTACCACTGGGGAAGGTCAGACAGGTACCAAGCAGTGCCATTTTGAGCACAACCAAATGGCAAAGCCTTCATTAGTAGTGTTTATCAGCAGAAGAAGACACCATGAAAACTAAAGAGAAATTGAAAAGAAACAACTTTCAATGCAGGTGGCAGCCTGTCAAGAGTCTGTGTTGGGCTGGACACTGAATGCTCACAGACACTCTCTAACCCCTCTCCCTCCCCGAATGGGAAGGGAATGAAGCAGCGACTTAAAGAAAACTACAACAGCTTCAATAAACCAAGCGAGCCGGTTAGCTCAGTGGGTTGAGCGTGGTGCTGATAACACCGAGATCATGGGTTTGATCCCTGTTCGGTCCCCATGTGTTGCCTGATCTAGTCGAGAGGCGTCCCTGTCCATGACAGGGAGGTTGGATTCAAATGATCTGAGGTCCCTTCCAGCCTAGGCCATTCTAGGATTCTATGAATAATAAAAATCCTATATATACATATCCAAAACCAATACCAAACGTGACTCGCCCCCACTATCCATCCCCACTGGTGCTGCAGAGCTGGTAGCACTGAGGCAGCCCCAGGCTCAGGGGCAGAGGGCAACCGGGCACAGGGGCTGGATTCAGGAACGCAGGATTGGGATGAAAGGATGAAGATCAGACGAAGTCCTCCTTGGACACCGGCCACTGAAGAAGAGAGCTTAACCTCCCTCAGCTTTATACTGAATATGACATATCTGGAATGGAATACTCCTGTTGGTCAACTGTCCTGTCTGTTAACCCCTGGAGGTGCAGCCTTGTACTTGCTTATGACCCTTTTACTTCCTGGCACCTCCACGGTGTTACACGATTTTCCAGCAGTGGCCTTGGTCACTGTAAGAATAAGCATAAGCAAGGTCCTTTCTGAATCTCAATCCCTGGCAGTATGTGCAAACACCAGGTGTTATCACTGTAGCAGGCACATGTAAACTTTTGCAAAAACTTGCTACTAACTTCAGAAAGTGCAGCCTCTCCGAGGAGACTGAGCTGCAAAGTAAAAATCACTGAACAGAACTGGTTCTGTTTAGCTCAAACTAGGACACAGCCAAAGGATTTCTAGCTGGGTATGGATGGGACGCAAAACCTCAGGAGCAATGGGGATGCTGGGATCAAAGGCACCTTCACTGCCACACTGTAATTGTACCTGTCCGAATAAACTCACAATAGGCTAACACTGCTCTGTGGCTGCGTCTGTAAAACAGAATGTCCAAGCACACTGAACAGCGACATGTGAAGGCTGTTCCCTTTTCACCCCAGTGAGTGTGGCAGCACATACACACCAGCACAGTGGCTAAGAGGATGATGATGATTTAGAATCATAGAATCCCAGAATGTTGGGGGTTGGAAGGGACCTCTGGAGATCCCCCAGTGCAACCCCCTGCCAGAGCAGGGTCACCCAGGGCAGCCCCACAGGAACAGGTCCAGGCGGGTTGGAAAGTCTCACCCTCTCTAGGCAGCCTGGGCCAGGGCTCCAGCACCCGCACAAATAAAGAAGCTTCTCCTCATGTTGAGGTGGAACTTCCCATGTTCTCACTTACACCCATTATTCCTTGTCCTATCGCTGGGCACCACTGAGAAGAGATTGTCCCCTTCCCCTTGACCCCCACTCCTCAGATGTTTCTCTACGTTCATAAATCCCCTCTCAGCTGTCTCCTTTCAATGCTGAACAGCCCCAGGTCTCTCAAGTCTCTCTTCACAGCAGAGATGTTCAGTCAATTGATCCTCCTCGTAGCTCTCTCTT